GTCCTTGTTACGTTTCTGAGCCTTGATCGTGTTAGGATCCTTGCTGTCTATGGGAGGGGCAGAAATCTCTTGGTTTATATAAAAAATAATTAATTAATAGTAATTAATGGCAGAATTTTAATTTTTGGGTGAACTATCCCTTTAAGTCATACTTGAATTATGGTCCTTCTGTGTCTAAAATTTATTAAAAACATCTTGGGACAAGACAGCAACTTTGTTTGTTTGTCTGAGTGAGCGACAGTAACTAAGGGGGGAGGGGCTTACCTATAGGTCAATTGTTTTTCTATGTAAGCATGCACTAACTAGACGTCTTTGAACGAAAAATAGCTGTTCTTAAAATCATGTTTCAAAACCTTGCATTTTTTTTCTGATTGAATACCCTATTGAAATGAATTGATCATGAGCTGGTTTAAGCTGGTCCTGAGCAGGAGCTAGTTGCTTTGGATCATCTTAGGACCAGCACATGACCAGCTTAAACCAGCTCATGACCAGCTTATAAGCAGCTCATGACTAATAGACCAGCTCCAAAAATTAAAATTCTGTCATTAATTACTCACCCTCATGTCGTTCCAAACCCACAAGATTTTCGTTCATCTTTGGAAAACAAATTAAGATATTTTTTATGAAATCTGAGAGCTTTCTGACCTGCATAGACAGCAAGGATATTACCACGATCAATACACAGAAACGAAACAAGGGGGTCATTAAAATAATAAATTTGACATCAGTGGTTCAACTGTAATTTTACTATTACTAGAATACTACTACTCGAACAAAAATAAACACTTTATTCAACAATTAGTCTCCTCCGTGTCACACAAGGTATGCAATGCATGTACGCGGATATGCTGTTTACGTTGTTTATGCTTTGATTTGAACGTAAACAACGTATCTGCATACATACATTGTTTACGTATGTGATACTCTCCAAAATGGCGCTATAGGGTGACGCGGAGGAGACGAATTGTTGAATAAAGTCGTTATTTTAGTTTTCTTTGCACACAAAAATTATTCTCGTAGCTTCGTAAAATTACGGTTGAACCACTGATGTCACATGGATTATTTTAATAAAGTCCTTGTTACGTTTCTGAGCCTTGATCGTGTTAGGATCCTTGCTGTCTATGGGAGGGGCAGAAATCTCTTGGTTTATATAAAAAATAATTAATTAATAGTAATTAATGGCAGAATTTTAATTTTTGGGTGAACTATCCCTTTAAGTCATACTTGAATTATGGTCCTTCTGTGTCTAAAATTTATTAAAAACATCTTGGGACAAGACAGCAACTTTGTTTGTTTGTCTGAGTGAGCGACAGTAACTAAGGGGGGAGGGGCTTACCTATAGGTCAATTGTTTTTCTATGTAAGCATGCACTAACTAGACGTCTTTGAACGAAAAATAGCTGTTCTTAAAATCATGTTTCAAAACCTTGCATTTTTTTTCTGATTGAATACCCTATTGAAATGAATTGATCATGAGCTGGTTTAAGCTGGTCCTGAGCAGGAGCTAGTTGCTTTGGATCATCTTAGGACCAGCACATGACCAGCTTAAACCAGCTCATGACCAGCTTATAAGCAGCTCATGACTAATAGACCAGCTTAAACCAGCTCAAACCAGCTGCCATGCTTCAGAACATACCTAACCAGCATATGCTGTTTTTTTCAACAGGGCAACCACTAAATGTATATGTAAAGTCCAACAGGACAAATCATTTGGCATAAGTGCAAACAAAATTCGTTGTGCAAAATGTCAATTTTAATGTAAGTGCCTTTGTTTATGGTTGTAGATTAGGCAAGCAATGTGTCTTTAGTTTTTCTTGAAAGTTGTAATGGTCTCAGATTGGCTAGAGGTTGGCAGCTCATTCCACCAAAGAGGAAGATAAACTTTGTGAAGGGATTGAAATAACAAAGCCTTCATTAAATTGTGACCAGTAGTTGTTATTGGGTGTCATGTTAATGTATTTGGGAATCCATCAATTTGGGAACAAGGCACTTTTGCAGCGTCCAAATGAATGATCTCATTCATTTGGTCAAAAGTTTACAGTTTTGAGTCTACAGCATAATTTCATAGTATTGCAGACTATTACTCAAAATATCAAATAATTTGATCATAGTATGACCCATAAAGTTGCATTCAAACTTTTCACCTCTATGAAGAAGTTTCTGGCCGGCTTGGAGAGAGAGAAGACCACCACCACTCCCACTTTGGCGTCCACAATGCGATTGAGAATCTCGTTCACCGCTTGCACAGGATCACTGTATACAGGAATCAAACCCTGATATGCCACACAGATGGACTCCTCATTGGCCATACTGGAGAACTGCTGCTGACCCTTCTGTCCGTATTCATCTTCACTACCTACTACTGACACCCAGTTCCAGCCAAACTGTTTCAGAAGCTGCACTATGGCCACTACCTGCCAGCGATCACTAGGGACTGTGCGCATGAAGGACGGGAAGGTCTCTTTGTCACTGAACATGTCGCTGGTGGCACCATAGCTAACCTAAAAATGCACAATTAGACATAAATTCAAAAACAGGAGGAACATCGCAGATTAAAGGCTGGAATACACTACATGATTTTTGCCCTGATTTTCTGTCTAGAGAAGTTGAAGCTAGTTGCCGAAAGTCAGAGCCAGTCTGCAGATTTGAGTTGACAGATTTCATAGAAAATTGCGTAGTGTATGATGGTCACAGATTCTGATTTCTTTTGCCTCAAGACTTTAATTCCATCCAGTCGGAGGAGAACAAACATGTTTGATATTTTGTGCCGATTTTAGAACACATTGTTTTCATTTGTCACGTGAAACAAGGTGCAAGTTTCTGCGTCTTGCACAGTATTTTAAGATCTGTTCAGTTTTTAAAAGTCATGTAGTGTATTCCAGCCTTAATAGTCCTTGCACACTGAGTCCGAAATTTTCGAATGCATTTTTTCGTATTCGTCATCCTTTCCTATCAAAATGCTTGCTACGGATGCGAAAATGCAGAAAATCGAACTTGATCTGATTTTTTTTTTTTTATGACGGACGAAAGTTTCGGAGGCAGTGTGTAAACGTAATTGACACAATGTGAGGTCGTATTTATTTTTTAATGTGTGAAAATGTTTTAATGTGTGCAAAAACCTTAAGTGTGATATTACTAGTTAAGAGACCAATCAGTCATATTATTACATATATTTGCTAAAATAATTTAAGTAAAATATTAAAACAAACATTAATTTTTTAAGTATTTTGCTTAAAATTTCAACACTATATTAGGGAAAAGTGTTGCATCCTTTAAATCTAACACTTTCAATGTCAACTCACCAGTGGCATCAAGAAAAACCCAATCAGCTTGCCAATAACTGGGACCAACTCAGAGTTGCTTGGTCCTATGATAGCTATAACACGAGGCTTGTAGTCGGTGTAGTTACAGGTGACATCCAGTTCTTCTGTCGATTCCTTTGTGAGAAGCTGGAGGACGGGCCTCATTACAACGGCTGGTTGCATGCAGGTGTCGTAACTCTCAAATCCCAGCGTGATTCCAGGGAGGAGATTCTCTTTCGAGTTGATCTCGTCCATAGAGAACTTCATCGCCAATGCGAGGGACAAACCATATGTGCTAATTCTGCCAAAACAGAAAGATAAAAGGATGATTTTAGGAGCAAAGCATTTTCAGATTTTGTAGACTTCCTTTAAGATTTTACCTGTTGCACTCAAGATCGTCTGGCTTCACCCGTTTGCCCAGATCACTGGTCAGTTCATTAATGGGGAAAAGTCCTCCTACCAGAATATCTCCAGGCGATTTAAAAAGATCGGCTGAGATGTTCTTGAACCACGATGGCTTCGCGCTCAATCCCGACCCTAGAATGCCACAGAGCACCAGAAGTGTCCACTCCTTAGCCATCCTGGAGGGCGAATAATCCAGGAAGCGTGAAGAAGCACATCACTATATCATGGAAATGAATAAATGAAAGTGAAATAGCTGGACTGACCTCAGTGGAAGTATTGCTTAGGCTCTTCTTGTTTTGATGTGTTGTGATTGCCTTAGTGGCGAGTGATTATGATGGTTTGACAGTCAACTGACAACACGTAAATGAGAGAAACGCCCCACCCCATGCTTTTGTGATCAGCTTTCGTGTACCTTTGCATGTAAATTAAGGGTCTACATCAAGTTTCATTCCGGCTTCACATGGAAATGTTCTGGTCTCTCCTCAACGTTCAAGCACACTGGGTAAAAACGAGTTCAGTCTGTCCTTGCTATTTTGTAAGTTGTTGGTCTTTTCCACTATTAGTGCAAAGCTGTTTTCCAGCAAAGGTCAGAGGAGTTTTTATGCACTAGGTATAAAGTTATTATTTTCAAAGAAAATGTGTATTGTTCTTAAACTGATGTGATTTTTCAGTCACAGTGCTTGTTCAGAAACACTTTGTGTATCGCAGAACACAAGCACAGAAAAATTTGTCTGGAAAAACATGAGTGTTGAACAAACACATGCACAATGCATTTGTACAGAAATTGTGGGAATTTCCATAGTTTTTCTTTGTGGCTTTGATTCAAAGTGCTTCATGATGGATGCTGGCCCATGCATGAATGATAGCGAATTAAACATTGAGACGGTGTCATGGCACTAATATTTACAGCAAGAGTATTTATGTAAGTTATTATTATTATTTATTATGATTTATATATTTATTATTATATAACCCATTTTTTAAAAATGAATGTTTTTAAGATTTATTTCTAAACACTCTTCAGAGATGTAGAATTGATTTTGTGACCTAAGACTTATTAGGATGTTATTGAATATTCCAATATCCATTTGCAAGTTACGTCAAGTTACATACATACTCTGCTTAATACTGTGGATGCCTAATGGATTTGCATCAGATGTATAATGTCAAAATTGTCGGTCAGATATTTGCATGAAATTTTGACTGTTGTTAAAATGAATTGCAGCCACAGCCACATGTTTACAAGAGTTTTGCATACATGTGGAGCGAGACGTAGCATTTCCCTCTTACATTTTCATTGGTCATAGTTTTTGTCTATATCCTTTTTGTTAATCTCACTCAGATTATTGTGGTTGAATGGATAAAAATCTAGACAATAAACAGATTAAACATTATTAGCACAGTGTAAATACATGAACAGGGCTGACTTCAGCTGTCAAGTGCATTATGAATGAAAAAAAAACCTTAATAGGTTTTAATTGCAGCTTGATATGATGTTTTAAAACCTTTTGGATGCTTTATTACAGCTGATTTATTCTGACAACCTTAATCATATCTCTTATGTCACTAACCAGCAGAGGGCAAAATTATGTTTTAATTAGTAACCAAGGTCTTCCGTAGTAAAAGAGAAAACAATTCTTCATAGTACAGGTGCATCTCAATAAATTAGAATGTCGTGGAAAAGTTCATTTATTTCAGTAATTCAACTCAAATTGTGAAACTCGTGTATTAAATAAATTCAATGCACACAGACTGAAGTTTAAGTCTTTGGTTCTTTTAATTGTGATGATTTTGCCTCACATTTCACAAAAACCCACCAATTCACTATCTCAACAAATTAGAATACTTCATAAGACCAATAAAAAAAACATTTTTAGTGAATTGTTGGCCTTCTGAAAAGTATGTTCATTTACTGTACATGTACTCAATACTTGGTAGGGGCTCCTTTTGCATCCAAAAATTAAAATTCTGTCATTAATTACTCACCCTCATGTCGTTCCAAACCCACAAGATTTTCGTTCATCTTTGGAAAACAAATTAAGATATTTTTTATGAAATCTGAGAGCTTTCTGACCTGCATAGACAGCAAGGATATTACCACGATCAATACACAGAAACGAAACAAGGGGGTCATTAAAATAATAAATTTGACATCAGTGGTTCAACTGTAATTTTACTATTACTAGAATACTACTACTCGAACAAAAATAAACACTTTATTCAACAATTAGTCTCCTCCGTGTCACACAAGGTATGCAATGCATGTACGCGGATATGCTGTTTACGTTGTTTATGCTTTGATTTGAACGTAAACAACGTATCTGCGTACATACATTGTTTACGTATGTGATACTCTCCAAAATGGCGCTATAGGGTGACGCGGAGGAGACGAATTGTTGAATAAAGTCGTTATTTTTGTTTTCTTTGCACACAAAAATTATTCTCGTAGCTTCGTAAAATTACGGTTGAACCACTGATGTCACATGGATTATTTTAATAAAGTCCTTGTTACGTTTCTGAGCCTTGATCGTGTTAGGATCCTTGCTGTCTATGGGAGGGGCAGAAATCTCTTGGTTTATATAAAAAATAATTAATTAATAGTAATTAATGGCAGAATTTTAATTTTTGGGTGAACTATCCCTTTAAGTCATACTTGAATTATGGTCCTTCTGTGTCTAAAATTTATTAAAAACATCTTGGGACAAGACAGCAACTTTGTTTGTTTGTCTGAGTGAGCGACAGTAACTAAGGGGGGAGGGGCTTACCTATAGGTCAATTGTTTTTCTATGTAAGCATGCACTAACTAGACGTCTTTGAACGAAAAATAGCTGTTCTTAAAATCATGTTTCAAAACCTTGCATTTTTTTTCTGATTGAATACCCTATTGAAATGAATTGATCATGAGCTGGTTTAAGCTGGTCCTGAGCAGGAGCTAGTTGCTTTGGATCATCTTAGGACCAGCACATGACCAGCTTAAACCAGCTCATGACCAGCTTATAAGCAGCTCATGACTAATAGACCAGCTTAAACCAGCTCAAACCAGCTGCCATGCTTCAGAACATACCTAACCAGCATATGCTGTTTTTTTCAACAGGGCAACCACTAAATGTATATGTAAAGTCCAACAGGACAAATCATTTGGCATAAGTGCAAACAAAATTCGTTGTGCAAAATGTCAATTTTAATGTAAGTGCCTTTGTTTATGGTTGTAGATTAGGCAAGCAATGTGTCTTTAGTTTTTCTTGAAAGTTGTAATGGTCTCAGATTGGCTAGAGGTTGGCAGCTCATTCCACCAAAGAGGAAGATAAACTTTGTGAAGGGATTGAAATAACAAAGCCTTCATTAAATTGTGACCAGTAGTTGTTATTGGGTGTCATGTTAATGTATTTGGGAATCCATCAATTTGGGAACAAGGCACTTTTGCAGCGTCCAAATGAATGATCTCATTCATTTGGTCAAAAGTTTACAGTTTTGAGTCTACAGCATAATTTCATAGTATTGCAGACTATTACTCAAAATATCAAATAATTTGATCATAGTATGACCCATAAAGTTGCATTCAAACTTTTCACCTCTATGAAGAAGTTTCTGGCCGGCTTGGAGAGAGAGAAGACCACCACCACTCCCACTTTGGCGTCCACAATGCGATTGAGAATCTCGTTCACCGCTTGCACAGGATCACTGTATACAGGAATCAAACCCTGATATGCCACACAGATGGACTCCTCATTGGCCATACTGGAGAACTGCTGCTGACCCTTCTGTCCGTATTCATCTTCACTACCTACTACTGACACCCAGTTCCAGCCAAACTGTTTCAGAAGCTGCACTATGGCCACTACCTGCCAGCGATCACTAGGGACTGTGCGCATGAAGGACGGGAAGGTCTCTTTGTCACTGAACATGTCGCTGGTGGCACCATAGCTAACCTAAAAATGCACAATTAGACATAAATTCAAAAACAGGAGGAACATCGCAGATTAAAGGCTGGAATACACTACATGATTTTTGCCCTGATTTTCTGTCTAGAGAAGTTGAAGCTAGTTGCCGAAAGTCAGAGCCAGTCTGCAGATTTGAGTTGACAGATTTCATAGAAAATTGCGTAGTGTATGATGGTCACAGATTCTGATTTCTTTTGCCTCAAGACTTTAATTCCATCCAGTCGGAGGAGAACAAACATGTTTGATATTTTGTGCCGATTTTAGAACACATTGTTTTCATTTGTCACGTGAAACAAGGTGCAAGTTTCTGCGTCTTGCACAGTATTTTAAGATCTGTTCAGTTTTTAAAAGTCATGTAGTGTATTCCAGCCTTAATAGTCCTTGCACACTGAGTCCGAAATTTTCGAATGCATTTTTTCGTATTCGTCATCCTTTCCTATCAAAATGCTTGCTACGGATGCGAAAATGCAGAAAATCGAACTTGATCTGATTTTTTTTTTTTTATGACGGACGAAAGTTTCGGAGGCAGTGTGTAAACGTAATTGACACAATGTGAGGTCGTATTTATTTTTTAATGTGTGAAAATGTTTTAATGTGTGCAAAAACCTTAAGTGTGATATTACTAGTTAAGAGACCAATCAGTCATATTATTACATATATTTGCTAAAATAATTTAAGTAAAATATTAAAACAAACATTCATTTTTTAAGTATTTTGCTTAAAATTTCAACACTATATTAGGGAAAAGTGTTGCATCCTTTAAATCTAACACTTTCAATGTCAACTCACCAGTGGCATCAAGAAAAACCCAATCAGCTTGCCAATAACTGGGACCAACTCAGAGTTGCTTGGTCCTATGATAGCTATAACACGAGGCTTGTAGTCGGTGTAGTTACAGGTGACATCCAGTTCTTCTGTCGATTCCTTTGTGAGAAGCTGGAGGACGGGCCTCATTACAACGGCTGGTTGCATGCAGGTGTCGTAACTCTCAAATCCCAGCGTGATTCCAGGGAGGAGATTCTCTTTCGAGTTGATCTCGTCCATAGAGAACTTCATCGCCAATGCGAGGGACAAACCATATGTGCTAATTCTGCCAAAACAGAAAGATAAAAGGATGATTTTAGGAGCAAAGCATTTTCAGATTTTGTAGACTTCCTTTAAGATTTTACCTGTTGCACTCAAGATCGTCTGGCTTCACCCGTTTGCCCAGATCACTGGTCAGTTCATTAATGGGGAAAAGTCCTCCTACCAGAATATCTCCAGGCGATTTAAAAAGATCGGCTGAGATGTTCTTGAACCACGATGGCTTCGCGCTCAATCCCGACCCTAGAATGCCACAGAGCACCAGAAGTGTCCACTCCTTAGCCATCCTGGAGGGCGAATAATCCAGGAAGCGTGAAGAAGCACATCACTATATCATGGAAATGAATAAATGAAAGTGAAATAGCTGGACTGACCTCAGTGGAAGTATTGCTTAGGCTCTTCTTGTTTTGATGTGTTGTGATTGCCTTAGTGGCGAGTGATTATGATGGTTTGACAGTCAACTGACAACACGTAAATGAGAGAAACGCCCCACCCCATGCTTTTGTGATCAGCTTTCGTGTACCTTTGCATGTAAATTAAGGGTCTACATCAAGTTTCATTCCGGCTTCACATGGAAATGTTCTGGTCTCTCCTCAACGTTCAAGCACACTGGGTAAAAACGAGTTCAGTCTGTCCTTGCTATTTTGTAAGTTGTTGGTCTTTTCCACTATTAGTGCAAAGCTGTTTTCCAGCAAAGGTCAGAGGAGTTTTTATGCACTAGGTATAAAGTTATTATTTTCAAAGAAAATGTGTATTGTTCTTAAACTGATGTGATTTTTCAGTCACAGTGCTTGTTCAGAAACACTTTGTGTATCGCAGAACACAAGCACAGAAAAATTTGTCTGGAAAAACATGAGTGTTGAACAAACACATGCACAATGCATTTGTACAGAAATTGTGGGAATTTCCATAGTTTTTCTTTGTGGCTTTGATTCAAAGTGCTTCATGATGGATGCTGGCCCATGCATGAATGATAGCGAATTAAACATTGAGACGGTGTCATGGCACTAATATTTACAGCAAGAGTATTTATGTAAGTTATTATTATTATTTATTATGATTTATATATTTATTATTATATAACCCATTTTTTAAAAATGAATGTTTTTAAGATTTATTTCTAAACACTCTTCAGAGATGTAGAATTGATTTTGTGACCTAAGACTTATTAGGATGTTATTGAATATTCCAATATCCATTTGCAAGTTACGTCAAGTTACATACATACTCTGCTTAATACTGTGGATGCCTAATGGATTTGCATCAGATGTATAATGTCAAAATTGTCGGTCAGATATTTGCATGAAATTTTGACTGTTGTTAAAATGAATTGCAGCCACAGCCACATGTTTACAAGAGTTTTGCATACATGTGGAGCGAGACGTAGCATTTCCCTCTTACATTTTCATTGGTCATAGTTTTTGTCTATATCCTTTTTGTTAATCTCACTCAGATTATTGTGGTTGAATGGATAAAAATCTAGACAATAAACAGATTAAACATTATTAGCACAGTGTAAATACATGAACAGGGCTGACTTCAGCTGTCAAGTGCATTATGAATGAAAAAAAAACCTTAATAGGTTTTAATTGCAGCTTGATATGATGTTTTAAAACCTTTTGGATGCTTTATTACAGCTGATTTATTCTGACAACCTTAATCATATCTCTTATGTCACTAACCAGCAGAGGGCAAAATTATGTTTTAATTAGTAACCAAGGTCTTCCGTAGTAAAAGAGAAAACAATTCTTCATAGTACAGGTGCATCTCAATAAATTAGAATGTCGTGGAAAAGTTCATTTATTTCAGTAATTCAACTCAAATTGTGAAACTCGTGTATTAAATAAATTCAATGCACACAGACTGAAGTTTAAGTCTTTGGTTCTTTTAATTGTGATGATTTTGCCTCACATTTCACAAAAACCCACCAATTCACTATCTCAACAAATTAGAATACTTCATAAGACCAATAAAAAAAACATTTTTAGTGAATTGTTGGCCTTCTGAAAAGTATGTTCATTTACTGTACATGTACTCAATACTTGGTAGGGGCTCCTTTTGCATGAATTACTGCATCAGTGCAGCGTGGCATGGAGACAATCAGTCTGTGGCACTGCTCAGGTGTCTTTTAGAGCACTTCATGCTTCCTTCTGCTGACAAGCTTTATGGAGATGCTGATTTCATTTTCCAGCAGGACTTGGCACCTGCCCACACTGCCAAAAGCACCAAAAGCTGGTTCAGTGACCATGGTGTTGGTGTGCTTGACTGGCCAGCAAACTCACCAGACCTGAAACACATAGAGAATCTATGGGGTATTGTCAAGAGGAAGATGAGAGACACCAGACCCAACAATGCAGATGACCTGAAGGCCGCTATCAAAGCAACCTGGGCTTCCATTACACCTGAGAAGTGCCACAGGCTGATTGTCTCCATGCCACGCCGCACTGATGCAGTCATTCATGCAAAAGGAGGCCCAACCAAGTATTGAGTACATGTACAGTAAATGAACATACTTTCCAGGAGGCCAACAATTCACTAAACATGTTTTTTTTATTGGTCTTATGAAGTATTCTAATTTATTGAGATGAATTGGTGGGTTTTTGTTAAATGTGAGCCAAAATCATCACAATTAAAAGAACCAAAGACTTAAACTTCTTCAGTCTGTGTGAATTGAATTTATTTAATACACGAGTTTCACAATTTGAGTTGAATTACTGAAATAAATGAAATTTTCCACGACATTCTGATTTATTGAGATGCACCTGTATCTTCCTGGCGATCTTGACGTCAACCGGTAAAGACACACAATTATCTATGCCACTTTTAATCTACCTCAAATCTTATTGCAACCTTTGATCTTTTACTTTTGCTTTCTCTCTCTTCTTTTAGTTTGCACGTATTGCTTTCTTAATTTTTTTTTTTTTTTTAGAAAAGAGGAGAAGGTCTTTGACTGGAGCACATGATATAAAACAAGTTTCCTCTGCAGATTTTGCCTTTGATGTTCAGATGTGGATGTCACATGTCAGCATAGGGGCTGACATAAGCTACATGTTCGGACAGCTTTCCTCAAGTGCACCGGGTGTGTTTTTGTGTGTGCGTAGGTGGATCTTCCACCTTCACTCTTCCTGTATGTGTAGGTGTGGATGAGCAGGTGTGTGCGTAAGTGTGGGTTTGAGTGAGTTATGACGAAGCTGCACATTTGGACTTTGTTTTATGCTCTGAGGCTGCATTAAATATGCAGGTTTAGAGTTGATTTGACAAGCTATATACTCATTGAAAGCAGGATAATATCTTGGCATCTACAGTAGCTACACCCTCTTGGACTGTGGAAATTGTTGAGTGACTTACAGCATACTTAAAATTTACACTTAAAATATCTGTTATACTGATAGCAAAAAAGGGTAACTTTAGTGACATAACAGCTTGCTATTGCAGTAAAAATCTGAAAGGTACACTTTATATACCTCTAAAAGGTGCATAGTACTAATTTGCATAATTTAGGGGTAGATAAAGCATGTAAATCAGTTTCTTATTGTGGCAATAACCTGAATTGTACACTTTTATTATGCTTATTAGTACTAATTCATAATTTATGGGTAGATGAAGCATGTATCACACTTATATGTAAACATAGGAAAGTAAATTTAGTTTGCCAAAACACTTTGGTTTAGTTTGCAAAAAAAAGCACCTTTAGTGGTACAACAGCTTGTTATTGTGGCAATAATCTGAAAGGTATGCTTTTGTACATAGACTACTAAAATGTGCTTATTAGTACCATTTTACATAACATTTACATTTAGTCATTTTGCAGACGCTTTTATCCAAAGCGACTTACAATTGGGGGATACATAAAGCGATTCTTCTTAAAGAGGCAAACAGATACAGGAAGTGCTTGTAATACCAAGTTTCTAGACATTGTTCAAATAAGTACAAGATAGAAAGAGAAGGAATAAGTAAATTGTTTTTATGATGAAGTCAAGTATCTTCGAAAGAGATGAGTTTTCAGCTGTCGCTTGAAAATTGTCAGAGATTCAGAATTCCGGATAGGGGTGGGAAGATCGTTCCACCAGCCAGGAATGGTGAACGAGAATGTTCTGGAAAGTGATTTTTAACCTCTCTGTGACGGTACAACAAGACATCGCTCACTAGCGGATCTCAGACTCTACCAGTGAAATAGGATTCAAACCAGCAAAGAGGAATCCCTGTGATGCCCAGTGATGAGAGGGCAGACAGCATGCAAAAGCATGTATCTAGCCTCAAACTTCTTTTCAATTGGAAATATGTAAACATAGGAAAGTACATTTTATAGCTCGTCAAAATGTTTTTGCAAAATGTAATACTTTCAGTGATACAACAGCTTGTTACAGTGGCAATAATCTGGAATTCATACTTTTGCACCTTTATATAGCACTAAAGGTGCATATTAGTACTAATCTGCATAATTTATGGGTAGACAAAGCATGTGTCTGGTTTCAAACTTCTTTGTAATGGGAAAAACAGCAACATAGGAAGATAAATGGTAACACTTTACAATAAGCTTCATTAGTTAACATGAGTTAACTACTTTAGTTAACATGAACTAAGCATGAACAATACTTCTACAGCATTTATTAATCTTAGTTAATGTTAATTTCAACATTTACTACTGCATTATTAAAATCAAAAGTTGTGCTTGTTAACATTAGTTAATGTGCTGTGAATTAACATGAACTAATTATGAACAACTGTATTTTCATTAACTTACCTTAACAAAGATTAATAAATACTGTAATAAATGTATTGTTCATTGTTTGTTCATGTTAGTTAATACATTAACTAACATTAACTAATGGAACCTTATTGTAAAGTGCTACCAGATCAATTTTAGCTTGTCAAAATGTTGTCACAAAAAATTATTCCAATAGTGGTAGACTTGTTATTGTGGCAATAATCTGAAAGCTATTTGTACCTTAAATACCACTAAAAGGTGCATATTAGTACTATTTTAAACAAATACTACTTATTTGCAAAATGTAAGGGTAGTTAAAGCATTATCTGGCCTCAGACTTCTTTCCAATAGGAAATACGTCAACACAGGAAAGTAAATTTAGTTTGTCAAACCATTTTCATGCTTGTCATGCTTTTAAGTGCTTTTCTCAACAATGCAATGTTGGTAGATAGTAACCCTTTTTTCAGCCAAATTCAAGTTTTCAGCCAAAGTCTTTAATAACAAAGCTACACAAGCACCATGTTTCCTAACACTAGATCTTTTCTGGACTTCATCATTGACTTTTAAAAAAGTTTCCA